GGTGCCAGGAAAGGTGTTTCCAATCAATGCCCAACTACTTAGGCTGGACGGTAGAGCGACGGTCGCTTCACTTACAGATCCTTCGGGCCGTCCGCTGCCAAGTGCAGCAGAGCGCCAGGCGATGTGCCAACAACTATTGGGTCCAGCTCTGCTGCCAGATACAGACAGCAGCAGATACAGGCAATGTATGACGGCATCAAGCAGGCCCTCGGCCCAGTCCAGAGGAAGACCGCTCCTCTGAAATCTGCCACAGGCGAGGTGATTCAGGACCAGACACTGCAGCTGAAGCGCTGGGTCGAGCACTACTCTGAGCTATACGCCAGGGACAATGTGGTCACCGAAGATGCCCTGAGCGCCATTGAGTGTCTGCCTGTGTTAATGGAGCTCGACAGTGAACCGACCCTGGAAGAACTCAGCGATGCCCTAGACTCCCTTGCTTCTGGTAAAGCTCCTGGCAAAGATGGCATTCCTGCTGAGACCTTGAAGTGCTGCAGAGGTTGCCTGCTCATGGAGCTGCATGAATTTCTCTGCCTCTGCTGGGAAGGAGGAGAGGTGCCACAGGACATGAGGGATGCCAACATCGTCACGCTGTATAAGAATAAAGGTGACAGGGGCGACAATTACCGTGACATCTCCCTCCTCAGTATTGTCGGAAAGCTGTTTGCTCGAGTCGCAATGAAGAGGCTCCAAGTGCTTGCAGAGAGAGTCTATCCAGAATCATAATGCGGATTCAGAGCTGGCAGGTCCACCATCGACATGGTCTTTTCCCTCAGACAACTGCAGGAGAAATGCAGGGAACAGAAGCAGCCACTCTTCGTAGCCTTCATAGATCTGACGAAGGCCTTCGACCTCGTCAGCAGGGATGACCTGTTCAAGATCCTCCCCAAGATCGGATGCCCACCCAGGCTCCTCAGCATCATCAGATCTTTCCATGAGAACATGAGGGGCACCGTGGTCTTTGATGGCCTAACATCAGACGCCTTTGACATCTGAAGTGGAGTAAAGCAGGGCTGCGTTCTGGCTCCAACACTATTTGGGATTTTCTTCGCAGTTATGCTGCGGCACGCCTTCGGATCTGTCACGGAGGGCATCTACCTCCGGACCAGGTCAGATGGAAAGCTCTTTAACCTCGCCAGGCTGAGAACCAAGACGAAGGTTCGGCTGAGGTGTCTGCACGACTTCCTTTCTGCCGACGACGCAGCAGTCACTGCCCACTCAGCTGAAGACCTCCAACGGCTCATAACCCGCTTCAGCGAGGCCTCTCAGGCTTTCGGACTCACCATCAGCCTGAAGAAAACACAAGTCATGGGACAAGGAGTGGACTCCTCACCTGACATCGGCATCTCTGATTCCAAACTGGAAGTCGTTCACGAGTTCGTATACCTGGGCTCCACAATCTCTGACTCCCTCTCTCTTGATACGGAGCTAAACAAACGCATCGGTAAGGCATCTACTACCATGTCCAGACTGACAAAGAGAGTGTGGGCCAACAATAGGCTAACTGAGTATACTAAGATTCAGGTTTACAGAGCCTGTGTCCTGAGCACTCTCCTTTATGGCAGTGAGTCTTGGACACTCCGCGCCCGTCAGGAAAGACAGCTGAATGCCTACCACATGCGCTGCCTTCGACACATCTTGGACATCACCTGGCAGGACAAGGTGACAAACAACAACGTCTTGAGGAGAGCAAGAATCACCAGCATGTACACAATGCTGAAACAGAGACGAATGCGCTGGCTCGGGCACGTTGTGCGAATGGGCGACGGCAGGATCCCCAAGGATCTCCTGTACGGAGAGCTGATGCAGGGAAAGCGTCCAGCAGGCAAGCCCCAGCTACGGTACAAAGACGTATGCAAGAGGGACCTGAAAGCCATGGACGTCGATCTTGCTATATGGGAGACACTGGCTGCAGACCGTTCAGCCTGGAGGCAGTCTGTTCAAAGAGGTCTCTCCAAGTTCGAGGAGTCACTTGCCAAGGAATCGGAGGCAAAGAGACAGAGAAGGAAAGCCGGTAGCCAGGAAGACAGACCGTTTGTGCTCGGTGTGGGATGGACTGCCACTCTCGGATTGGCCTCATCAGTCACACCAGACGCTGCACCAGGACTGACAATCAGGGCGCTGCTTCATAGTCTCCCGAGACTGAAGGAGGCCTACTACTGTCATAATGTCTTGTCCCTTTCCCCTGATAAATCCATCCCACTTTTCTATCAAAGTTCTAAATAACTTGAACAACTTAGACTTGATTGAACTTTATTAAATCAGCAACTTTAAATGAAAAAAAATGCTAAAATTGTTGCTAGAAATCGAGACGTTGCGTTGAATTCACACACAGGCGAGTCCAAGAGCTAAGGCTTGACTCTGCAAGCACATCTAACTGACATGAGAATACGCACACCAACATACATGCAAACACACGCACACAAACAGACACACACACACACACACACACACACACAAAGCCAGAGGAAGCAATGCAAAGCCAGCTATGCATTGTACAAGTCAATCAAGCCAGAGGAGCAGTGTCTTACAGCGGTGAAGATGGGAAGCTTAGTTGCTGGACGAGCTGAGGGGTCACCCCATCAGCCAGGACCATCAGCTGATGGGGTCACTTGAAGCCAAGATCATCAGCTGATGGGGTCACTTGAAGCCAAGATCATCAGCTGATGGGGTCACTTGAAGCCAAGATCATCAGCTGATGGGGTCACTTGAAGCCAAGATCATCAGCTGATGAGGTCAGTTGAAGCCAGGATCAACAGCTCATGGGGTCACTTGAAGCCAGGATCAACAGCTGATGGGGTCACTTGAAGCCAGGATCAACAGCTGATGGGGTCACTTGAAGCCAGGATCAACAGCTGATGGGGTCACTTGAAGCCAGGATCAACAGGTGATGGGTCACTTGAAGCCAGGATCAACCGCTGATGGGGTCACTTGAAGCCAGGATCAACAGCTGATGGGGTCACTTGAAGCCAGGATCATCAGCTGATGGGGTCACTTGAAGCCAGGATCAACAGCTGATGGGGTCACTTGAAGCCAAGATAAACAGCTGATGGGGTCACTTGAAGCCAGGATCAACAGCTGATGGGGTTACTTGAAGCCAAGATAAACAGCTGATGGGGTCACTTGAAGCCAGGATCAACAGCTGATGGGGTTACTTGAAGCCAAGATAAACAGCTGATGGGGTCACTTGAAGCCAAGTGACTTTGCAATATATACTCAGCGGGAAGACTGCAAGCCAAACTAGAGAGTAATGAGAAAATTCAAGGCTCAAGAGAAATGGCTGAGGCGAGTTAACTAAGGGAACTGAGCAGGTCAAACTGAGGTGATTGTGCAGGTCAAACTGAGGGTATTGTGCAGGTCAAACTGAGGGTATTGTGCAGGTCAAACTAAGGGTATTGTGCAGGTCAAACTGAGGGTATTGTGCAGGTCAAACTAAGGGTATTGTGCAGGTCAAAGTGAGGGGATTGTGCAGGTCAAACTGAGGTGATTGTGCAGGTAAAACTGAGGTGATTGTGCAGGTCAAACTGAGGTGATTGTGCAGGTCAAACTGAGGTGATTGTGCAGGTCAAACTGAGGTGATTGTGCAGGTCAAACTGAGGGGATTGTGCAGGTCAAACTGAGGGTATTGTGCAGGTCAAACTAAGGGTATTGTGCAGGTCAAAGTGAGGGGATTGTGCAGGTCAAACTGAGGTGATTATGAAGGTCAAACTGAGGTGATTGTGCAGGTCAAACTGAGGTGATTGTGCAGGTCAAACTGAGGGAACTGTGCAGGTCAAACTGAGGGTATTGTGCAGGTCAAACTGAGGGTATTGTGCAGGTCAAACTAAGGGTATTGTGCAGGTCAAAGTGAGGGGATTGTGCAGGTCATACTGAGGGTATTGTGCAGGTCAAACTGAGGTGATTGTGCAGGTCAAACTGAGCTGATTGTGCAGGTCAAACTGAGGTGATTGTGCAGGTCAAACTGAGGTGATTGTGCAGGTCAAACTAAGGGGATTGAGCAGGTCAAACTGAGGTGATTATGCAGGTCAAACTGAGGTGATTATGCAGGTCAAACTGAGGTGATTATGAAGGTCAAACTGAGGTGATTGTGCAGGTCAAACTGAGGTGATTGTGCAGGTCAAACTGCAGGTCAAACTGAGGTGATTGTGCAGGTCAAACTGAGGTGATTGTGCAGGTCAAACTGAGGTGATTGTGCAGGTCAAACTGAGGTGATTGTGCAGGTCAAACTGAGGTGATTGTGCAGGTCAAACTGAGGTGATTGTGCAGGTCAAACTGAGGTGATTGTGCAGGTCAAACTGAGGTGATTGTGCAGGTCAAACTGAGGTGATTGTGCAGGTCAAACTGAGGTGATTGTGCAGGTCAAACTGAGGTGATTGTGCAGGTCAAAATGAGGTGATTGTGCAGGTCAAACTGAGGTGATTGTGCAGGTCAAACTGAGGTGATTGTGCAGGTCAAACTGAGGGTATTGTGCAGGTCAAACTGAGGTGATTGTGCAGGTCAAACTGAGGTGATTGTGCAGGTCAAACTAAGGTGATTGTGCAGGTCAAACTAAGGTGATTGTGCAGGTCAAACTAAGGTGATTGTGCAGGTCAAACTAAGGTGATTGTGCAGGTCAAACTAAGGTGATTGTGCAGGTCAAACTGAGGGTATTGTGCAGGTCAAACTGAGATGATTGTGCAGGTCAAACTGAGGTGATTATGCAGGTCAAACTAAGGTGATTGTGCAGGTCAAGCTGAGATGATTGTGCAGGTCAAACTGAGGTGATTGTGCAGGTCAAACTGAGGTGATTGTGCAGGTCAAACTGAGGTGATTGTGCAGGTCAAACTGAGGTGATTGTGCAGGTCAAACTGAGGTGATTATGCAGGTCAAACTAAGGTGATTGTGCAGGTCAAACTAAGGTGATTGTGCAGGTCAAACTGAGAAGATTGTGCAGGTCAAGCTGAGATGATTGTGCAGAGCAAACTGAGGTGATTGTGCAGGTCAAACTGAGGTGATTATGCAGGTCAAACTAAGGTGATTGTGCAGGTCAAACTGAGGTGATTGTTCGGGTGAACATTTGATGATTGTACAGGTAATAGTTCAGGGCTGTTGTATGAGTGGGCTGTTGCATGAGAGGGTTGTTGTATTTGAGGGCTGTTGTATGAGTGGGCTGTTGCATGAGAGGGTTTTGTATGAGAGGGCTGTTGTATGAGAGGGCTGTTGCATGAGAGGGTTTTGTATGAGAGGGCTGTTGTATGAGAGGGCTGTTGCATGAGAGGGTTGTTGTATGAGAGGGCTGTTGTATGAGAGGGCTGTTGTGTGAGAGTGATGTTGTATGAGAGGGCTGTTGTATGAGAGGGCTGTTGTATGAGAGAGCTGTTGTATGAGAGGTCTGTTGTATGAGAGGGCTGTTGTATGAAAGGGTTGTTGTATGAGAGGGCTGTTGTATGAGAGTGATGTTGTATGAGAGGGCTGTTGTATGAGAGGGCTGTTGTATGAGAGGGCTGTTGTATGAGAGGGCTGTTGTACGAGAGGGCTGTTGTATGAGAGTGATGTTGTATGAGAGGGCTGTTGTATGAGAGGGCTGTTGTATGAGAGGGCTGTTGTATGAGAGTGATGTTGTATGAGAGGGCTGTTGTATGAGAGGGCTGTTGTATAAGAGGGCTGTTGTATGAGAGGGATGTTGTATAAGATAGCTGTTGTATGAGAGGGCTGTTGTATAAGAGTACTGTTGTATGAAAAGGCTGTTGTATGAGAGGGTTGTTGTATGAGAGGGCAGTTGTATGAAAGAGCTGTTGTATGAGAGGGCTGTTGTATGAGAGGGCTGTTGTATGAAAAGGCTGTTGTATGAGAGGGATGTTGCATAAGAGGGCTGTTGTATGAGAGGGCTGTTGTATAAGAGGGCTGTTGTATGATAGGGCTGTTGTATGAGAGGGCTGTTGTATGAAAAGGCTGTTGTATGAGAGGGCTGTTGTATAAGAGGGCTGTTGTATGAAAGGGCTGTTGTATGAGAGGGCTGTTGTATGAGAGGGCTGTTGTATGATAGGGCTGTTGTATGAGAGGGATGTTGCATAAGAGGGCTGTTGTATGAGAGGGCTGTTGTATGAGAGGGCTGTTGTATGAAAAGGCTGTTGTATGAGAGGGATGTTGCATAAGAGGGCTGTTGTATGAGAGGGCTGTTGTATAAGAGGGCTGTTGTATGATAGGGCTGTTGTATGAGAGGGCTGTTGTATGAAAAGGCTGTTGTATGAGAGGGCTGTTGTATAAGAGGGCTGTTGTATGAAAGGGCTGTTGTATGAGAGGGCTGTTGTATGAGAGGGCTGTTGTATGATAGGGCTGTTGTATGAGAGGGATGTTGCATAAGAGGGCTGTTGTATGAGAGGGCTGTTGTATAAGAGGGCTGTTGTATGAGAGGGCTGTTGTATGAAAAGGCTGTTGTATGAGAGGGCTGTTGTATGAGAGGGCTGTTGTATGAAAAGGCTGTTGTATGAGAGGGCTGTTGTATAAGAGGGCTGTTGTATGAAAGGGCTGTTGTATGAGAGGGCTGTTGTATGAGAGGGGTGTTGTATGATTGGGCTGTTGTATGAGAGGGATGTTGCATAAGAGGGCTGTTGTATGAGAGGGCTGTTGTATAAGAGGGCTGTTGTATGAGAGGGCTGTTGTATGAAAAGGCTGTTGTATGAGAGGGCTGTTGTATGAGAGGGCTGTTGTATAAGAGGGCTGTTGTATGAGAGAGCTGTTGTATGAGAGGGCTGTTGTATGAGAGGGCTGTTGTATGAGAGGGCTGTTGTATGAGAGGGCTGTTGTATGAGAAGGCTGTTGTATGAGAGGGCTGTTGTATGAGAGGGCTGTTGTATGAGAGGGCTGTTGTATGAGAGGGCTGTTGTATGAGAGGGCTGTTGTATGAGAGGGCTGTTGTATGAGAGGGCTGTTGTATGAGAAGGCTGTTGTATGAGAGGGCTGTTGTATGAGAAGGCTGTTGTATGAGAGGGCTGTTGTATGAGAGGGTTGTATGAGAAGGCTGTTGTATGAGAAGGCTGTTGTATGAGAGGGCTGTTGTATGAGAGGGCTGTTGTATGAGAAGGCTGTTGTATGAGAAGGCTGTTGTATGAGAGGGCTGTTGTATGAGAGGGTTGTTGTATAAGAAGGCTGTTGTATGAGAGGGCTGTTGTATGAGAAGGCTGTTGTATTAGAGGGTTGTTGTATGAGAGGGCTGTTGTATGAGAGGGCTGTTGTATGAGAGGGCTGTTGTATGAGAGGGCTGTTGTATAAGAAGGCTGTTGTATGAGAGGGCTGTTGTATGAGAAGGCTGTTGTATGAGTGGGCTGTTGTATGAGAAGGCTGTTGTATGAGAGGGCTGTTGTATGAGAGTGCTGTTGTATAAGAAGGCTGTTGTATGAGAGGGCTGTTGTATGAGAGGGTTGTTGTATGAGAGGGCTGTTGTATAAGAAGGCTGTTGTATGAGAGGGCTGTTGTATGAGAGGGTTGTTGTATGAGAGGGCTGTTTTATGAGAGGGCTGTTGTATGAGAGGGTTGTTGTATGAGAGGGCTGTTGTATGAGAAGGCTGTTGTATGAGAAGGCTGTTGTATGAGAGGGTTGTTGTATGAGTGAGCTGTTGTATGAGAGGGCTGTTGTATGAGAGGGCTGTTGTATGAGTGAGCAGTTGTATGAGAGGGCTGTTGTATGAGTGAGCAGTTGTATGAGAGGGCTGTTGTATGAAAAGGCTGTTGTATGAGAAGGCTGTTGTATGAGAGGGCTGTTGTATGAGAAGGCTGTTGTATGAGTGAGCTGTTGTATGAGAGGGCTGTTGTATAAGAAGGCTGTTGTATGAGAGGGCTGTTGTATGAGAAGGCTGTTGTATGAGAGGGCTGTTGTATGAGAAGGCTGTTGTATGAGAGGGCTGTTGTATGAGAAGGCTGTTGTATGAGAAGGCTGTTGTATGAGAGGGCTGTTGTATGAGAGGGCTGTTGTATGAGTGGGCTGTTGTATGAGAGGGCTGTTGTATGAGTGGGCTGTTGTATGAGAGGGCTGTTGTATGAGAGGGCTGTTGTATAAGAAGACTGTTGTATGAGAGGGCTGTTGTATGAGAGGACTGTTGTATGAGAAGGCTGTTGTGTGAGATGGCTGTTGTATGAGAAGGCTGTTGTATGAGAGGACAGGTGTATGAGTGAATACATGTATGGGTGAGTAATTGTATGAGTGAATACATGTATGGGTGAGTAATTGTTTGAGTGAATACGTGTATGGGTGAGTAATTGTATGAGTGAATACATGTATGGGTGAGTAATTGTATGAGTGAATACGTGTATGGGTGAGTAATTGTATGAGTGAATACGTGTATGGGTGAGTAATTGTATGAGTGAATACATGTATGTGTGAGTGAGTATTATTACTATCTCGTCACCACCGTCGGAGTGTAGCGTGACAATTCCCGCGCCATCTATGGGTCTGCCCTCCAACCTCCTGATAGTGGACACTGCGTGGATAACGCCATCTATTGGTGGTGGCGTGACAGTGATAAATGGCTCCTGTTTCCTGCCTTGGTCAGACAGAGAGGTCGTTGTGGATGACCTCTGGTGGAGGGCGTGGCAAGACCAGCGCCACCTAGGATGTGCTACTTAACTGATGACGTGTCATGTCCACAGAGGTGACGTGTGGAGGCAGTCGTACTGAAGAGAGCAGTTTACCTTGGGCAGTCCACGTTCTCTCAGCTTGGTCCTGGAAGAAGACTAAGTAAGCCGCCGTCGATCTCATCAGTGTTTGTTAGCTGCTGATTTACGCAGTGTTGGAAGAGATCGGTGAACCCCGGGATTGGCTTAGGTGAGTAACGGAGGACAGTGAGGTGTGAAGTGCTGGTAGCCGGTCGCTAGACTTCTGCCAGGGGTTAGTTACCCCTGTATATGGTGCTTGGTGACCCTGCCAGCGTGTGGCTGAGGTCCCCTGCCAGCGTGTGGCTGAGGTCCTCTGCCAGCGTGTGGCTGTGGTCCTCTGCCAGCGTGTGGCTGTGGTCCTCTGCCAGCGTGTGGCTGAGGTCCTCTGCCAGCGTGTGGCTGAGGTCCTCTGCCAGCGTGTGGCTGAGGTCCTCTGCCAGCGTGTGGCTGTGGTCCTCTGCCAGCGTGTGGCTGAGGTCCTCTGCTCAGCGTGTGGCTGAGGTACTCTGCCCAGCGTGTGGCTGAGGTACCCTGCCCAGCGTGTGGCTGAGGTCCTCTGCCAGCGTGTGGCTGAGGTCCTCTGCCAGCGTGTGGCTGAGGTACCCTGCCAGCGTGTGGCTGAGGTCCTCTGCCAGCGTGTGGCTGAGGTCCTCTGCCAGCGTGTGGCTGAGGTCCTCTGCCAGCGTGTGGCTGAGGTACCTTGCCAGCGTGTGGCTGAGGTCCTCTGCCAGCGTGTGGCTGAGGTCCTCTGCCAGCGTGTGGCTGAGGTCCTCTGCTCAGCGTGTGGCTGAGGTCCTCTGCCAGCGTGTGGCTGAGGTACCCTGCCAGCGTGTGGCTGAGGTCCTCTGCCAGCGTGTGGCTGAGGTCCTCTGCCAGCGTGTGGCTGAGGTCCTCTGCCAGCATGTGGCTGAGGTCCTCTGCCAGCGTGTGGCTGAGGTACCTTGCCAGCGTGTGGCTGAGGTCCTCTGCCAGCAAGTGGCTGAGGTCCTCTGCCAGCGTGTGGCTGAGGTCCTCTGCCAGCGTGTGGCTGAGGTCCTCTGCCAGCGTGTGGCTGAGGTCCTCTGCCAGCGTGTGGCTGAGGTCCTCTGCCAGCGTGTGGCTGAGGTCCTCTGCCAGCGTGTGGCTGAGGTCCTCTGCCAGCGTGTGGCTGAGGTCCTCTGCCAGCGTGTAGCTGGAGAGCGACAGTGGAGTATAGGCACCTCGTGAGACTGTGTCGGTGGGCTGGCCCACGAAGAAGGTGAACTCGCCAGTGTTTCCCATTAGGAGTGGACGAGGTACTGGCTGGTGGAAACACTGGGGTTGGTGAACACTGCGTGTGAGCGCTTTTGGTGTCCTCTGTGAAAGTGACACTATTGAAAATAAGTGTGGTAATTGTCAATTTTTATGTATTCAACGGTGAAAGTATAAATATATTGGTGAAGTGAACTGTGTATTGTTCATTCCTCCCCTTAATCTTTATAGCACTATATAGCCAGTTCTGGAAAGTGTACTATCGACTTGGGGTCGGATACTATAAACGAGGTTCATCGATCAAGAACCCCGTTACTGGTTCTGGTTGATACCTGGTTGATGGGGTTCTGGGAGTTCTTCTACTCCCCAAGCCCAGCCCGAGGCTAGGCTTGACTTGTGAGAGTTTGGTCCACCAGGCTGTTGCTTGGAGCGGCCCGCAGGCCCACATACCCACCACAGTCCGGTTGGTCCGGCACTCCTTGGAGGAATGGAGCTAGTTTCCTCTTGAAGATGTCCACGGTTGTTCCGGCAATATTTCTTATGCTCGCTGGGAGGATGTTGAACAACCGCGGACCTCTGATGTTTATACAGTGTTCTCTGATTGTGCCTATGGCACCTCTGCTCTTCACTGGACCTCTGATGTTTATACAGTGTTCTCTGATTGTGCCTATGGCACCTCTGCTCTTCACTGGACCTCTGATGTTTATACAATGTTCTCTGATTGTGCCTATGGCACCTCTGCTCTTCACTGGACCTCTGATGTTTATACAGTGTTCTCTGATTGTGCCTATGGCACCTCTGCTCTTCACTGGACCTCTGTTGTTTATACAGTGTTCTCTGATTGTGCCTATGGCACCTCTGCTCTTCACTGGTTCTATTCTGCATTTTCTTCCATATCGTTCACTCCAGTATGTTGTTATTTTACTGTGTAGATTTGGGACCTGACCCTCCAGTATTTTCCATGTGTATATTATTTGGTATCTCTCTCGTCTCCTTTCTAGTGAGTACATTTGGAGAGCTTTGAGACGATCCCAATAATTTAGGTGTTTTATCTCGTCTATGCGTGCCGTATATGTTCTCTGTATTCCCTCTATTTCAGCAATCTCTCCTGCTCTGAAGGGGGAAGTGAGTACTGAGCAGTACTCGAGACGGGACAACACAAGTGACTTGAAGAGTACAACCATTGTGATGGGATCCCTGGATTTGAAAGTTCATCCTATCATTCTCCTGGCTGACGCAATACTTGCTTGGTTATGCTCCCTAAACGTTACGTCGTCAGACATCATTATTCCCAAATAAATAAATACGGCCCTTAGTGGCCGTAACATATTTAAGTGTATGGGTAAGAGTATGGGGTGAGTAAGTGTATGGGTGAGTAAGTGTATGGGGTGAGTAAGTGTATCGGTGAGTAAGTGTATGGGGTGAGTAAGTGTATGGGTGAGTAAGTGTATGGGGTGAGTAAGTGTATGGGTGAGTAAGTGTATGGGTGAGTAAGTGTATGGGGTGAGTAAGTGTATGGGGTGAGTAAGTGTATGGGTGAGTAAGTGTATGGGGTGAGTAAGTGTATGGGTGAGTAAGTGTATGGGGTGAGTAAGTGTATGGGTGAGTAAGTGTATGGGGTGAGTAAGTGTATGGGTGAGTAAGTGTATGGGTAAGTGTATGGGGTGAGTAAGTGTATGGGTGAGTAAGTGTATGGGTGAGTAAGTGTATGGGGTGAGTAAGTGTATGGGTGAGTAAGTGTATGGGTGAGTAAGTGTATGGGGTGAGTAAGTGTATGGGGTGAGTAAGTGTATGGGGTGAGTAAGTGTATGGGGTGAGTAAGTGTATGGGTGAGTAAGTGTATGGGTAAGTGTATGGGTGAGTAAGTGTATGGGGTGAGTAAGTGTATGGGGTGAGTAAGTGTATGGGGTGAGTAAGTGTATGGGGTGAGTAAGTGTATGGGGTGAGTAAGTGTATGGGGTGAGTAAGTGTATGGGTGAGTAAGTGTATGGGGTGAGTAAGTGTATGGGTGAGTAAGTGTATGGGGTGAGTAAGTGTATGGGTGAGTAAGTGTATGGGGTGAGTAAGTGTATGGGGTGAGTAAGTGTATGGGTGAGTGAATGGGTGAGTAAGTGTACGTGTATGTGTGTGTGTATGTGTGAACAAGTATATGACTGTTGAGTGACCTGGAGGCGGAACTCTCCACATACATGATCAAGAAGCCTGTGAGTGCCAGCATCCTGTACCGTAACACTAAGCAAGCTACTCCTTCAAGGCTCTTCCTGACGAGGAAGAGAGAGGTGAAGGAGGAGGAGGAAGAGAGGACAAGGAAGAGGAAGAAGCCAGAGGAAAGGAAGGTCTTCTCAAGGTATATCTAGAGGGAACCTCGGGAGAGAATGGGAGAGGCGGCGGAGGGGTGGCATCAACCGGAAGGGAAGAGCTCTTAGGCTCAGCGGCGACTCTGGCACGGTGGGTGGAGCAGGTGACGAGGATGGCACTCACGCCGTTGGCCTGGGGCAGGTCCGTGGTGCCCTCGGGCACGTGGGTGGTGCCTGGCACACACTGCTGACAGTTCCTCTTGAGGGCCGGGCGTTGGCGCGACCCGTGGCAGCGCAGCGCGAAGCGCAGCTCCTCCGCCATCTCCGAGCACAGCGACTGCTGCAGGAGACAATGGTGGCTCTTAGCTTTCTACACTGACTGTTGCAGCTACACTGACTGCTGCAGGAGACAATGGTGGCTCTTAGCTCTCTACACTGACTGCTGCAGGAGACAATGGTGGCTCTTAGCTCTCTACACTGACTGTTGCAGCTACACTGACTGCTGCAGGAGACAATGGTGGCTCTTAGCTCTCTACACTGACTGCTGCAGCTACACTGACTGCTGCAGGAGACAATGGTGGCTCTTAGCTCTCTACACTGACTGCTGAAGCTACACTGACTGCTGCAGCTACTCTGACTTCTGCAGCTACACTGACTGCTGCAGGAGACAATGGTGGCTCTTAGCTCTCTACACTGACTGCTGCAGCTACACTGACTGCTGCAGCTACACTGACTTCTGCAGGAGACAATGGTGGCTCTTAGCTCTCTACACTGACTGCTGCAGGAGACAATGGTGGCTCTTAGCTCTCTACACTGACTGCTGCAGGAGACAATGGTGGCTCTTAGCTCTCTACACTGACTGCTGCAGGAGACAATGGTGGCTCTTAGCTCTCTACACTGACTGCTGCAGCTACACTGACTGCTGCAGGAGACAATGGTGGCTCTTAGCTCTCTACACTGACTGCTGCAGGAGACAATGGTGGCTCTTAGCTCTCTACACTGACTGTTGCAGCTACACTGACTGCTGCAGGAGACAATGGTGGCTCTTAGCTCTCTACACTGACTGCTGCAGCTACACTGACTGCTGCAGGAGACAATGGTGGCTCTTAGCTCTCTACACTGACTGCTGAAGCTACACTGACTGCTGCAGCTACTCTGACTTCTGCAGCTACACTGACTGCTGCAGGAGACAATGGTGGCTCTTAGCTCTCTACACTGACTGCTGCAGCTACACTGACTGCTGCAGCTACACTGACTTCTGCAGGAGACAATGGTGGCTCTTAGCTCTCTACACTGACTGCTGCAGCTACACTGACTGCTGCAGCTACACTGACTGCTGCAGGAGACAATGGTGGCTCTTAGCTCTCTACACTGACTGCTGCAGCTACACTGACTGCTGCAGCTACACTGACTGCTGCAGGAGACAATGGTGGCTCTTAGCTCTCTACACTGACTGCTGCAGCTACACTGACTGCTGCAGCTACACTGACTGCTGCAGGAGACAATGGTGGCTCTTAGCTCTCTACACTGACTGTTGCAGCTACACTGACTGCTGCAGGAGACAATGGTGGCTCTTAGCTCTCTACACTGACTGCTGCAGGAGACAATGGTGGCTCTTAGCTCTCTACACTGACTGCTGCAGGAGACAATGGTGGCTCTTAGCTCTCTACACTGACTGTTGCAGGAGACAATGGTGGCTCTTAGCTCTCTACACTGACTGTTGCAGGAGACAATGGTGGCTCTTAGCTCTCTACACTGACTGCTGCAGGAGACAATGGTGGCTCTTAGCTCTCTACACTGTTGCAGGAGACAATGGTGGCTCTTAGCTCTCTACACTGACTGCTGCAGCTACACTGACTGCTGCAGGAGACAATGGTGGCTCTTAGCTCTCTACACTGACTGTTGCAGGAGACAATGGTGGCTCTTAGCTCTCTACACTGACTGCTGCAGCAACACTGACTGTTGCAGAAGACAATGGTGGCTCTTAGCTCTCTACACTGACTGCTGCAGGAGACAATTGTGACTCTTAGCTCTCTACACTGACTGTTGCAGGAGACAATGGTGGCTCTTAGCTCTCTACACTGACTGCTGCAGGAGACAATGGTGACTCTTAGCTCTCTACACTGACTGTTGCAGGAGACAATGGTGGCTCTTAGCTCTCTACACTGACTGCTGCAGCAACACTGACTGTTGCAGAAGACAATGGTGGCTCTTAGCTCTCTACACTGACTGCTGCAGGAGACAATGGTGACTCTTAGCTCTCTACACTGACTGTTGCAGGAGACAATGGTGGCTCTTAGCTCTCTACACTGACTGCTGCAGGAGACAATGGTGACTCTTAGCTCTCTACACTGACTGTTGCAGGAGACAATGGTGGCTCTTAGCTCTCTACACTGACTGCTGCAGCAACACTGACTGTTGCAGAAGACAATGGTAGCTCTTAGCTCTCTACACTGACTGCTGCAGGAGACAATGGTGGCTCTTAGCTCTCTACACTGACTGCTGCAGCTACACTGACTGTTGCAGGATACAATGTTGACTGTTAGCTCTCTACACTGACTGTTGCAGCAACACTGACTATTGGTGGAGACAATGGTGGCTCTTAGCTCTCTACACTGACTGCTGCAGAAGACAATGGTGGCTCTTAGCACTCTACACTGACTGTTGCAGGAGACAATGGTGGTTCTTAGCTCTCTACACTGACTGCTGCAGGAGACAATGGTGGCTCTTAGCTCTCTACACTGACTGCTGCAGGAGACAATGGTGGTTCTTAGCTCTCTACACTGACTGCTGCAGGAGACAATGGTGGCTCTTAGCTCTCTACACTGACTGTTGCAGGAGACAATGGTGGCTCTTAGCTCTCTACACTGACTGCTGCAGGAGACAATGGTGGCTCTTAGCTCTCTACACTGACTGCTGCAGGAGACAATGGTGGCTCTTAGCTCTCTACACTGACTGTTGCAGGAGACAATGGTGACTCTTAGCTCTCTACACAGACTGCTGCAGGAGACAATGTTGGCTCTTGGCTCTCTACACTGACTGCTGCAGCTACACTGACTGTTGCAGGAGACAATGGTGGCTCTTAGCTCTCTACACTGACTGCTGCAGGAAACAATGGTGGCTCTTAGCTCTCTACACTGACTGCTGCAGGAGACAATGGTGGCTCTTAGCTCTCTACACTGACTGCTGCAGGAGACTGGTGGCTGTTAGCTCTCTACACTGACTGTTGCAGCTACACTGACTGTTGGTGGAGACAATGGTCGCTGTTAGCTCTCTACACTGACTGCTGCAGCTACACTGACTGTTGCAGGAGACAATGGTGGCTCTTAGCTCTCTACACTGACTGTTGCAGCAGACAAATGTGGCTCTTAGCTCTCTACACTGACTGCTGCAGCTACACTGACTGTTGCAGGAGACAATGGTGGCTCTTAGCTCTCTACACTGACTGCTGCCGCTACACTGACTGTTGGTGGAGACAATGTTGACTGTTAGCTCTCTACACTGACTGTTGCAGCTACACTGACTGTTGGTGGAGACAATGGTGGCTCTTAGCTCTCTACACCGGCTGTTGCAACTACACTGACTGTTGCAGGAGACAATGGTGGCTCTTAGCTCTCTACACTGACTGCTGCACCTACACTGACTGTTGCAGGAGACAATGGTGGCTCTTAGCTCTCTACACTGACTGTTGCAGGAGACAATGGTGGCTCTTAGCTCTCTACACTGACTGCTGCAGCTACACTGACTGCTGCAGGAGACAAAGGAAGCTCTTAGCTCTCTACACTGACTGCTGCAGCTACACTGACTGTTGCAGGAGACAATGTTGACTGTTAGCTCTCTACACTGACTGTTGCAGCTACACTGACTGTTGGTGGAGACAAAGGTGGCTCTTAGCTCTCTACACTGACTGTTGCAGCTACACTGACTGTTGGTGGAGACAATGGTGGCTCTTAGCTCTCTACACTGACTGTTGCAGGAGACAATGGTGGCTCTTAGCTCTCTACACTGACTGCTGCAGCTACACTGACTGTTGCAGGAGACAATGGTGGCTCTTAGCTCTCTACACTGACTGCTGCAGCTACACTGACTGCTGCAGGAGACAATGGTGGCTCTTAGCTCTCTACACTGACTGCTGCAGCTACACTGACTGCTGGAGGAGACAATGGTGGCTCATAGCTCTCACTCTACACTGATACTGTCATTCACCACACTGACACTGTCTTACTCTACACTGACACTGTCACACTCTACACTGACACTGTCGTACACTACACTGACACTGTCATACACTACACTGACACTATCACACTTTACACTGACACTGTCACACACAACACTGACACTATCACACACTACACTGACACTGTCACACACAACACTGACACTGCCATACACTACACTGACACTATCACACACAACACTGACACTATCACACACAACACTGACACTATCACACTCTACACTGACACTGTCATACTCTACACTGACACTGTCGTACACAACACTGACACTGTCATGCACTACACTGACACTGGCATGCACTACACTGACACTGTCATGCACTACACTGACACTGTGATGCACTACACTGACACTGTGATGCACTACACTGACACTGTCATACACAACACTGACACTGTCACACACTACACTAAAACTGTCATACACTACACTGACACTGTCATACACAACACTGACACGGTCATTTACTACACTGACACTATCACACACAACACTTACACTGTCATACACAACACTGACACGGTCATATACAACACTGACACTATCACACACAACACTGACACTGTCATACTCAACACTGACACTGTCATACACAACACTGACACTCATACACAACACTGACACTATCACACACAACACTGACACTGTCATACACTACACTGACACTATCACACACAACACTGACACTGTCACACACTACACTGACACTGTCACACACAACACTGACACTATCACACACAACACTGACACTGACACTATCACACACAACACTGACACTGTCACACACTACACTGACACTGTCACACACAACACTGACACTATCACACACAACACTGACACTGGCATACAGTACACTGACACTGTCATACACTACACTGACACTGTCACACACTACACTGACATTATCACACACAACACTGACACTTTCATACAGTACACTGACACTGTCACACACTACACTGACACTATCATTCACTACACTGACACTGTCACACACTACACTGACACTATCACACAACACTGACACTTTCATACAGTACACTGACACTATCACACACTACACTGACACTGTCACACACTACATTGACACTGTCACAC